ATGAGAAATAAAGAAATGTTAATATGTATTTTGTAAGAATGTTTTGTTTATCGTTCAATGTGCTTACAAGGTTTCTTATATAGAGATACAATGGAGAATCATCTAGAGCTATAACCAAAGATTTCAAGGGCTGTGATTATGGAATCACGATGATATGGAAATTACGTATTGAGAAAGTTTTCTTTAATTTGTTGCTTACGTTATTGCAGTTACATGGAAAATATACAAAAAGACTTTTCCACACAAGACTAGATTCTCTCTCGCTACTTTTGTACTTATTTGGGAAAGGACTTGACGAGAGAGAACTAGAAGATTTAATAAATCAACAAAATAACTCTCTATAAATTATTCCATTAAAATCGCAATTTTCATATGCAATTTTTTATATTTATAATTTAGTTTGGGTATACACTATACAGCAACCCAAAATAAAATACATATTCAAAAGAAACAATCAATAGCACAATCTTTATACACTCACAAAGAGTTTTCTTTCTTTAAGTGTAGTAGATACACGAGCCATTACTTGGATCGGCAAAAGTAAAACAGCCAGTACGGCCGAACCTACAAGCATCTTCGATACGCCCATGGCTTTGATAATAAGCGTTCATGACATACGACGCATGGTCGAATAACGTGTTAGGGTGATAGCAAGTTCCACCAGGTTGGATCGGTGTACAATCGACGCCGTTGCTGCAACCAAAATCAATGTTGGCTTGTAACTGCTCATCTGAGGTACCAGGCATCGCCATGCACCATTGTCTGCAAGTCACGACGGGGATAGCGACAGTTGATACGAGAAGAACAAGTGTTAAAAGTTGCAACGACGACATTGGAAATGGTAAAGGATTCAATAGTTTTTATGTGTTATCTTTTCGTGCAAGGGCATGTATATATATACTAGGGAGAGATAATTAGAAGAAGTAATAATTTAAAAAAATACTCTCTAAAGATTATTCCATTAAAATATTATGATATATTTCTTATTATAATTATTTTGTAGATCTTTTGATATATCATATTTAACTAGATATCTTTCAGTTATGGATATAATTTTTTTTAAATTGATGAGTTATAAATAACTATATACAACTAACTCAAATTTTTAATTTAATGAAAAATAAACATTTATAAGCTACTTTAAAACATTTTAGTTACGGATTTGAACAAGATTGAATTGGTGGGGTAGTCATTGTTTGGTTAAAAATGTAATGTATGCCTCTATGAAACCTATAATTTTTTTGAAAAAAGACACCTATGAATATATTAAGTGAGTTACATTATTTAGTGAACATTACATACGAATGTGTGACTTTATGTGAAAGCGCGTCATGCAACTTAAATTTTTATATCAAAACGATATTTGCTAAGTTCACCAAAAAATAAGATTGTTGACAAAAATAATTTTACTATCCCCCCGTTACAACTAAGAAATGGACCAACATAAGAGGTAGGAGTTTCGAAAGTTGATCATTGCAAATTCCCATGGGCCTCCAAACATTAAGAGAAGTCATTGACAATGCCCTAAGTAGATAGAAGGTTGACTTCATAGAGATATACTCCGATTATGTGTTGATATAAAGCTCCGATTTGAAAGTAGAGGAGGTTCAATGATGATGAAAGACGTACGCTTTGGTGCTTACACAAAGACCAAAGTCCTAGTTTAAATGTGAATGAGATTGATGCTGAATTCTTGATGAAAAAGTCTTTATGTAATATTGAGACCCCTAATTTATAGAGATAAGGAGGTTTGGCGCTGATTAAGTATTCTTGAGCGATGTTTTTGTCTTTTAATTAGAATTGTTAAAGCATTGTTATACCATCTTATATTGCTAGCCTACCTATATAATTAATATTGCGACCCCTAATCTACAGAGATGAGGAGGTTTGACGCTGATTAAGTACTCTTGAGCGATGTTTTTGTCTTTGAATTAGAGTTGTTAAAGCATTGTTATACTATCTCATAGTGTTAGCCTACCTACCACATAGAAAATTGTAAATATTTTTACCAAAACCTTAAGACATTAATTGTTTTCGTCATTATATAATCTCTTTTATTGGTCGTTTATAACCTCACTATGTTCAAACTGACATAATGACAAACAAAGCCGGTCCAGAGTTTCACAAGGCTATACAAGCCAATGAAAAAATGGGCTACATAACTTTTACCTATTTAATGATTTTGTTGTTAAGAAAAAAAATTGTTTAGGCATTCTCAAAGGTAAAATTCATATACAGGTGATACAACCATTGAATTTTTAAGCACAAGAACTTTTCTTAAATTGGCCGAAACTAAACGATATTATTAGCGGCTGCAAGCTATGCTTTGCCGGCTTGGCCTTATGGCCGGCCCGATGACAAAATTAGACACTTGTATAATGAAATTAACTTATATATATATATATAGAGATTAATTGGAGAAAACTGATGGATAGATTATTTTTCAACTTATTTAACTGGAGTTTCGGCCAAACAAGTTCCCACACATACATGTTAACCGGAAATTAAAATGCTAATAAGATACGAAAACACACGAGCCATGGCTTGGGTCGGTATAAACTTCAATGCCAGTATTATGGAAATTGCATTGTGCCTTGGTGGCACCAAGGTTCTGGTAATACAAGTTCATTGCGAACGACGCGTGGTCTCTTACCGTGTTTGGTTCAAAGCAAGGTCCACCGGGATTGATCGCTCCACAGTCACGGAATCCTCCTTCGTCGCTGCAAACCCAATCTATATTCGCTTGTAGTTGCTTATCTGTCCCTTTGTCATTCGCTATGCACCATACTCCTTTGTTTTCAGCCGCCCGCGAGAGGTTTCTTAGTGTGGCGTTCACAGATACGGTGGATACGAGGAGGAAGAAGTAGAGCGTCAATGGTAGAGATATCGTTTTTGTGACCATTATTGCTTATACGTACGTAGATTGATATTTGTTTATAGAGTAAACATTTTATGTGTTTGTTTCTATATATACAATAAATGAAACGGTGATAAGAAGAAAATAAGGTTTTGTAATAATTAATGCAAAAATATGTAATATTCTCTCATTTGTTTGTTTTTCCTTGTAGTGTCATGTATATATAGAAGAAAATCCAATATCGTTTAATGCATCATTTAAGAAATCACATTTTCTAGCAATGTGATAAGAAATCACATTTTCTAGCAATGTAACTGACAATGTAATTTTCAACTTTCTTGACTCTTTTTTTGTCACATACTCACATCCACGTAACTGACAATGTAATTCAACTTTCTAGGCATTTTTTTGTCACATCCAAGTAACTGCAATGTAATTCAACTTTCAACCCACTTATCTCTAATCGATAAGCCACAACGTGTGCTCCTTTCCAAGGGAATACTTTGGTCGTCGTGCTAGTTTGAAGATTCCACAACTTTTTTTTTTCATAGGATTAATCGAAATTTTAGCCTCTGTTTTTTTTTTGTCAGAGTCCAGCAAAAAGAATCTTTCCTATTTGCATCAAGTTTAATGTGTATAATCACCTACACATCTTTGAAAAGCTCTTTCAAGATATATGTAGGTTCATCTCATGAGTTGCGTTTATGAAGTTCTTAGCCATTAATACAAGTATCGATCGAGATGTACTTAAAATGATTCATCAACAACATTTGAGAAATATGAAGATATATATTCTATAAGTTGAGAATTAATATACTCCAATAGTTACATATTAACTTATATATAGATTAGAGAAATTTGATGCATACATAGTATTTTCAACTTATTTGAAGATTCGGCTTAATAATTTACCACACATATACATCATATATGTATATATTAATAAGATATGAAAATACACGCGCCATGGCTTGGGTCTTTACGAACCTGGGTGCCAGTACCGTTGAAAGTGCATTGGTCTTTGGTGGAGCCAAGATTCTGGTAATACAAATTCATTACGTACGACGCGTGGTCTCTTAGAGTATTTGGTTCATAGCAAACTCCACCAGGATTGATCGGTGTACAATCGCGGAATCCTCCTTCGTAGCTGCAACACCAGTCTATATTCGCTTGTAGCTGCTCATCTGTCGCTTTATTATTCGCCACGCACCATACTCCTTTGTTTTCAGCCGCTGGAGAGAGGTTTCTTTGTGTTGAGGTTACGGAGACGGTAGATACAAGGATGAAGAGGAGGAGTGTCAATGATAGAGACATTGC